TAGATTTTTTAGTTCACCCTTGGGGTGTGCTCGATAGAACTTCATAGTTTGGTGCACTCTCTTGGGTATTTAATGTCTAATGGAAGACAAGTACTCTTAGAAGAGTATTAGATTAGGTGGTTCTGCCACAAAAATGTCCGGTTAAATAGACAGTTTGTAGTGACTACCTTTCTTTGGGAGTGGTGTAGTGAGTACCACTTATGGAGTGACATGATGCATGAACAATATGGTTGATCAGCATGACCATTGAGTAAGGGGAGCATGACACTGTAATACCTCAACTCATTTATGCTCTGGTTTGATCCCATTGTGACTTATATGTCTATTCCGATGGAATTAGTCCCAGTTTGATTGTTTAAATATGTTTGGGTCAACTCATAATCCTTAACTATGGTTCCAAACACTTCTCCACGAAGCGAAGACGGAAGTGTAAGAGGTATACTATACATGGGGGTCGTCGTGATAAACTCAACAATACTCAACAATAGAGGTGTTGCTACAAATTAAATTGTGTAGTAATGATAAACCCGACAACTAGAGAAGCAAAAGGGTATTAGGCTTTTAAAGCCCAGCTGATAGTCCACGGCAAGCAACAACTCGCCCGGATCATGAGGGCACAGTGACTGACTCATAAGCTAGCTCTAAGTGTTTTTTCATATTTTAATAGAAATGACAGAGAAATTAGCTCTTGATTAAGAACTAGGCTCATATATACACACATTCTAAGATCATATAAAAAACTATTCATGCTATGAGCTATATGCTAAAAGTTAACAATATTGAAAAAGTGAGCTAGTAACTAGCCTATGCGATTGCGGGTGCCTAAGCCATGCGCTCCACCAACCGTCCACTTGTTTGATCACGCGTACGTCTGCCAAAAGGGCTCCACCAGCTGACCACGAGCCACACCGCCTCCACGTCGTGGCCTTGCATGCAGATGCTAGCTTCTCGCCTTAATTATTCGCTAATGGCACACTAGCACAAACTACTAGCTGACTCTACGCGCATGTGAGTAACTCAATGCATGCCATGACTAATGACGTCAACCACAACTAATTGCCCTGTTCGCTTAGCTGACAAGCCATAGCTGAAAGTACTGTTGGCTGATTTATTATAAGAGAAAAATATTATTCGTTGGCTGAAAAAGTATGGCTTATAAGTCAAGCGAACAGGGCGAATGACGTCGAGCCACAAACTGGATCATGCATGAAGACTAATAAAATAAAATGCATGACTACCAAAACTTCGATCCTGCTATATGCAAGATAATGACATGCAAGTGAAGATTAGTGCTAACATCTCTGGGACCCGGCCCGCTGTAACGACGACTCTCATAGCTCACGTGGTGCCGGGAAGAATAGGACAGGGCGCTTTCGGCTGCCAGATGAGTAGATGACCACGGGACGTCGTCGTTCATGCATGCAGTGCTGAAACGCGGGAGGAGAAGGCAGAGAAACTAGCATTCATTAGTCGTGAGTGACATATATAATTCATGAGCATGCAGCTGACTAGCATGGTCATCGAGTATGAAGAGCATGGAAGAATACTTTAGGGGAAATGATTCCGTAAACTAAGGACGAGATTTTCGGTTCTAAGTCCAATACAACAAGTGTGATGCTCACTTGCTCAGTTGTACTGTCTTTACCATTGTGGTCATTTAGCACCGTAGCCACTAGCATAAGCGTTGCTCCCACTCTCCCACAATAGCTATAATCTAGATTTAGTAGATTAGCAAAAACATTGTCACGTGAAACAGAGCACGTCTAAGGTTCCCATTTCAATTAAAATGTTTTGTGTGGTACCTGGGAGTTGTATCTCTCTTGACTTCTTCTTAATGGAACACATGCTAAGCACGTTCTCAAAAAAAATTAAATGTTTTGTAAGTCCACATGAATTAGAAAGTGGGATGATAGAAGCAAACTGAATATTATGTATGATCGAGGTAAAATAGTGTAGGGATACAAATATGCAGGCCATCATTGCGAGTTTCCTTGTTCTTGCTACCTCAAACGGCCGTGATGATGGACGCGTGACGCTTCTCATGGATCATTCAGCAAAACACTTCACCATTCTAGGTAATCCTGACAAAAACAGTGCGGTCCTTGTGCTTTACACCACTACCCACATCATTTACCAATCCTCCATCTGATAGGCAGCACCAATTTTCAGTTTTCTCTAAAATCTCAGCTCATAATAACTTTCTTTTGAGAGCCTATGAAAATATTGAGTTATAGCTAAGAGACGTGACTGTATGCAGAGTTTCATCTGATCTCACATCATGATGGAAGGCAACAAAACATGTCAAACACGCATAAAGGGCTACATGGTAGTGCAATCTCGAGAGAGCAAAATGTCTAGTTAAATAGACAGTTTGTAGTGGGTGCCTTTTTGTGCCATTTATGGAGTGATATGATGCATGAACAATTTGTGATCAGCATGACCATCGAGTAAGGAGAGCATGCCATTGTAATACCTTGGCCCACTAATGTTCTGGTTTCAGCCCATTGTAGCCCATGTGTCGTATTCTGGTAGAATTAGTCCCAATTTATTATTGTTTCAATAGGTTTGGACCAGCTCATAGTCCTTGTCATTTCAAACGTCTTACCTTTTTGGTTAAGCCTTTTACACGAAGAAAGAACAAAAAGTGTAAGAGAGATGCTATACTATGCGTATATGGGCCCGTTCCACATAAGGAGCCAGACTATAAATAGATTTTTGGATGGGGTGTTATAGCAATTTCCTATGATTGCTTGAATTTACTTCACCGTGCTTCGCTTGCTAGTTGTTAAGATCACATTTTTTCATTCATGTATAAAAAGCTTTTATGCAAAACCAAATGCAATCTATGCTAACAAACAAAATGCATTATCCTCGTATTTATATTGGGTAAGTCCTGTTGAGTATATTTGAGTACTCACCCTATAATTGCTGAGCTTTGCAGGTACCCCCGCTCTAACCTATGGCTTTTTCTACACGCCAGTCCTCTAACGACCAGGATTGGTAGAAACTGCCTTTGTTGACGTAGAATGCATGGAGAATGGCACACCCATGTGTTGTATTAAAAAAAACTTATGTTGCTTTCGCTAAAAGACTTCCGCTCATACTTTGTGATGTTGGTTTAATGAACTAAGTGTGGAAAAACTTGTTATAAACTTAAGTACTCCTTTTAATGTGATGTGAACCTGTTATGGGTTGTAATAATCCTTTCTGTCCACTTGATCCTGGATGAAGATTGGTTTAGTTTACTATATGGGTAGTGTACTGGGATGACCAATTAGGTTCATTATCTAACTAATGATAGTCAATGGAAGACTATCTAGTTAGCTAATCAACTTGAGAGGGAGGAGATCCTGACGGACCTGCAATGAACAATTTAATAAGAAGATTAGAAACTCATATATATTTATACTTTCATAGTTGATGGACCTAGGTGACAACACCTTCTAAGAGCGTCTCTAAGAGTTTGTAAAACCCACTCCCAATCTTGAATTTTTTGCAAGGTTTAAAAAAACTGCTCTCCAACAACTCATAATCTTTCACACTTGGGAAAATCGATCCAATGGCATGGAAATATACACGTGTGTATCAATCGGCAAATCTAGATATGGGAGGTTGTGGGGGAAGAGTACTAAGGAGTAAGGATATGATTCCCAATGCAAATGTATAAGAGAAAAATATATAAAATAGTTGGGTGATTTAGAAGTAGTCTGAGATTCTCGCTGCAAAATGTCTTCTATCTTTTAGGAGCGAGATTTTAAAAACAGCTAGAGCCACCCAGCAAATATGTTTCCAACTTTTTTGAGCCACTTAGAAAACTCATTAATTTAACAATTGTTTTTTTTAACTATTGGAAATGCTCTAAGTTAATAGATAGCAAATGCATGCATTTTACTGTCTACAAATCTGAAAATCCAAATAAACATAGATAATATGAGATACTGCATTCTACGAATCCCTGACCAATCAATCCAAAGGGGACAATAGTAAATATAAAGCAAAAAAGGTTGAGACTTGAGAGGTAATGTAAAGCCTACAGAGGGAAACAGTGCTGCGTTTTGGCGCTATAGTTGTGATTAGCAAGGCGGGGCTGTACCAAACCGACCACGTAAATATTCCAACTGGCTTCCCTAAATGCAAACTCAAGTATCGCATTCAAGACAACACAGGCACGCGACACGCGTGCATGCCGCCGCGTCAGCATCCCACGTGGACAAAAAAGGCAGTGCCGCAGGAGGCCCATTCACTGCTGTCTCGTCGTTCTCCCAGGCGACAACGGCCGCATCCCACCCACCCCGTCCGTGTGGCGTGGCCCCACTGCCAGGCCCCGCCGGATCACGTGGGCCCCGCGCGGCTGTCCACGTGGACGGCGTGTGGGGGTGGAGCCCCAACGGTAACAAGGAACGGGGGCGGCGAGCCGGTCGTCACGTGCCGCGCACCTGACTCACTCACGGCCTCACGCCTCTCCACGGGGCACGGCCACACGGCGTCAGAGGCAACGGTCACATTGACCACAGGCGGGGGCAGGCACCTCCCCCCACAACGGTCACATCCCTGACCACCCCGCACGCGCAGCACAGCCGTCCGGTCCGGATCTGACGGCGCAGGCAGCGTCTCGGGATTCGCCACCTGCCAGAACGGCCGTTTCGCTCCCCCTGGCCCGGGGCTTTCTTCTCCCTTCCCACCCTCCCCCTTCCACCAGAGAGAGAGAGGCCCGAGAGCGAGCGAGTGGGAGAGGAAGAGAGCCAGCCACAACAGAATAGTGAGAGTGAGTGGGAGAGGAGGAGAGCCACAGAGTGCTCATGGTGAGGCAAGAGGATCAGTAGCTGTAGGAGGATCATCCATTAGGAATAGGAACACGCATTGCATCCCCATCTCGATCTCCATCGCCATTGCATCGCATCCAATGTTGCATTGTTAGTTAGATCATCTTCATCATCCCCTGATTCCTGGTTTCTCGGAAAAGATTTCTTGTTTTTTCTTCTGTTTTTTTCGTTTGGGCAATGGGGGCGCTGGGGTTCGCTGCTCGCAGCTGGCTGGGTTCCGCCGTCGCTGCCGCCGCGCGGGCTCTGCTGCAGAGGGTGAGCCGCCCCGGCATTTCCGCCCGGTTTTTCTAGATGTTTTAGGCAGTTTCTTCTTCCTATACTACATTCTTTGATTCTTTTGTACTACTGATCCCCATTCTTTCCTGCATATACAGCATTAACATACACATACCCATCTCTCATAGTCATAGACATTGATTTGTTCTTTTCTACCCAAAAAACAAAGTAACTGACCAAATTCTTTCTTCCGAGAAACAAGATCCTCTGGTTTTAGAACGAGCTCTCCTCTTTCGTTTGTACATCGATTCGTTCATTCATTCATATACAGCAGCAACCCACCTCACAAAGAAACAAGGAAAGAAAGATCCTCTAGCCGTAGGCAGATAGCACAGAGAGACAGTGAGGAGATCAGTGAAAGGGAGTGAGGAGTGAATCGTCAGAGAGGAGGAGATCCACGAACAAGACGACGAAGACGAAGCCACAGAGGAGGGCAGAGCAGAGCAGAGGAGGAGAGTAGGTCTCTTCTTGCCACACCGCGTCCGGCCGCGTCTCCGGGATGTTGGCTGGTTGCTCCTTCTCGTCGTCGAGGCATCAGATGAGCACCGCGCAGCGATTCGACATCCTCCCCTACGGCTTCTCCAAGCGGGCGACCAACCGCGGCGACGGCCCCGGCGCCGGCGCCGCGCCGCGCGTCGCGGCGGCCGATGCCAGGAACGGCGGCGGCGGCGCCGCCACCTGCTCCTTCCGCGCCCACCCGGCGCCGCCGGTCACGCAGGCCGTGTCCTGGGGCGCCAAGCCGGAGCCCGGCGGCAATGGCGCCGGCGCTGTCTGGGAGAGGAGCAGGGCCGTTAAGCGAGCCCATGAGGAGGACTCGGGCGAGGAGTACGGCGTCCCCGTCGTTCGCGCCAAGCGAACGAGGATGGGCGGGGACGGAGATGAGGTATGGTTCCATCGATCCATTGCAGGGACAGTGCAAGCGGCGGGGTCCGGGGACGGAGAGGAAGCCGAGGAAGAGAAGGTCTTCCTGGTGCCGAGCGCCGCGGCTTTCCCCCACGGCATGTCCGCCGCCGCCGCCGCCGCGGGCCCGTCGCTGGCCGCGGCCAAGAAGGAGGAGCTCAGCAAGTCGCCGTCCAACTCGCCGGCCTCGTCGGGCGGCACGGACGGCGGCTCGTCGGCGGTCCGGCCGGAGCAGCTCCACGCGCATAACGGCGCCCCGGCGGCGCGGGTGGAGGCCATGGAGCTGGTCGTCGCGCTCACCGCCTGCGCCGACTCCCTCGCCGCCTGCAACCACGACGCCGCCAACTACTACCTGGCGCGGCTGGGCGAGATGGCCTCCCCCGTGGGGCCCACGCCGATGCACCGCATGGCCGCCTACTTCGCCGAGGCGCTGGCGCTGCGCGTGGTGCGCATGTGGCCGCACGTGTTCGACGTCGCCCCGCCGCGCGAGCTCACTGACGGCGCCTTCGCAGAGGACGACGACGCCACGGCTCTGCGGGTGCTCAACGCCGTCACCCCGATCCCGCGTTTCCTGCACTTCACCCTCAACGAGCGGGTGCTCCGCGCGTTCGACGGCCACGACCGCGTCCACGTCATCGACTTCGACATCAAGCAGGGGCTCCAGTGGCCGGGCCTCCTCCAGAGCCTCGCCACGCGCGCGGTTCCCCCCGCGCACGTCCGGATCACCGGCGTCGGTGAGTCGAGGCAGGAGCTGCAGGAGACCGGCGCGCGGCTGGGGCGCGTGGCCGCCGCGCTCGGGCTCGCGTTCGAGTTCCACGCCGTGGTGGACCGCCTCGAGGACGTCCGCCTGTGGATGCTCCACGTCAAGCGCGGCGAGTGCGTCGCCGTGAACTGCGTCCTCGCCGCGCACCGCCTGCTCCGCGACGAGACGGGGGCCACGATCGCCGACTTCCTCGGGCTCGCGCGCAGCACGGGCGCCGCCATCCTCCTCCTGGGCGAGCACGAGGACGCCCTCAACTCCGGGCGCTGGGAGGCGCGGTTCGCGCGCGCGCTGCGGTACTACGCCGCGACGTTCGACGCCGTGGATGCTGCGGGGCTGGCGGACACGAGCCCCGCGAGGGCCAAGGCGGAGGAGATGTTCGCGCGGGAGATCCGCAACGCGGTGGCGTTCGAGGCCGGGGACCGCTTCGAGCGGCACGAGACCTTCGCCGGGTGGCGGCGGCGCATGCAGGAAGGCGGGTTCCAGAGCGCCGGCATCGGCGACAGGGAGGCGATGCAGGGGCGCATGATCGCGAGGATGTTCGCGCCTGGCAACTACAGCGTGCAGGTGCAGGGCGACGGCGAGGGGCTCACGCTCCGGTGGATGGACCAGGCCATGTACACCGTGTCCGCGTGGACGCCAGTCAGTGATGCCGGTGGCGGAGGCAGCACGGTGTCTGCGTCCGTGTCCACCACAGCATCCCATTCTCAGCAAAGCTGAATGGGGGGAAGACACACAAGGTTAAGTGAAGAAGAAAAGAACAGGGTTTTTCAGTGGTTCTTTTGCTGTTAGTGATCATTCGTTAGTTCATTATACAGTCTGACAATTCTTTTATACATTCAGAAGAACAAAAAAAACAAAGGAGAAAGAAAGATTTGTAGCTTTGTTTTTATAGGTGATTATTCTTTTGGCTGCTGAGTCTTTCCTGCAAAAGTTAGCTGCATAATGTAGAAGAAGCAAAGGAGTTGTAGATGTTGGCAGGGAAGCTCACAGCGTATATGGATGTCTCCAGTTACAATACATCATATTATTATTTTTTACTTGCCATTCTTTCACCATATCTGTTTAGATATTTGTAACCTGTAATCTCTATTCCGAGTTGGGCAATGCTAAGGTACAAACTTCACCTCTGAGGAGGTAATATTTCAAATCAATCTTAGCCATTGATTTTTCATATTTTATAAAGTACTTAATAAATTAAAAAATCTAGGAAAATGAAATAAAACCTGACGATCCCCCTAATGACGGGAGGAAACTTCCTTTAAGGACATGCATGCCGATTCCCCCTAATCAGTTAATCACGGACTAATCATGCGCCAGATACGGAAGCGATTGTTTCCCTCTCCGTGCGCGCAAATTTGATAATTTTCGTATGAATTTGAGACGTGCCGAAAATTTGAGACGTTATCTTGGGCCTATTGCAATGATAATTTTCATATGAATTCGAATTAAAATCCACTAAATGGTGCTATCTGAATTCGATTTCACACATTTGATTTCTCTTGGTCAAGAAAAAATATTGTCACTTTTTGGGGAGTCAAATAAATTCAAACTTGATCAAACTTAGGCCATGTTCGTTTCTCTTATAATTCGTACTTTTCAACTTGTTTTTTCAGCCGGAACAGTGTTTTTCTCTCACAACAAATCAGCGGGAACTGTGTTTCGGCTCGTTTTTTCAACGAAGCGAACGTGGCCTTATACTTATGACGTTGAGTAAGTATCATGGAATAACTATAAAATATGTTTTTATATTAAATCTATTTCAACATATAATGATTCATATTACTTTGTATACACACACGCTAACCAGGCTAACCACGTGTACACACACGCTAAACAGACTAACCAGGCTAGCCGCGTACACACACGCTACACACGCACACAACGCTAATCACGTACACATGCAAATCCTAACACATACAAAATCATATGGTAATCAAAATATATCAAGTAAAAGTTATAAAATAAAAAAGATTTACCATATCAGTCAAAGATCACGCATGCATTAATCAAATCTTGAAAAAAGATTTTTCTATCTAAAACTTTCCTTATTTAACCTATTTTATAAAATAAAGAATAAATAAATATACATTTCCTCAATAGTTTATTGTGACCATCCTATCAAAATCAATGAACAGCCCATAGTCATTTAGGGTACCACAGCAAAGCCCTTCCGACTTAGAAGGAAATAGAATCAAACAACTATGGTTTTCATTCATCTGAACATTTGTCAGGTGGGAAAACGGTTGCTCTTATTCTGTTGTTGTTGATGAATGGTATTGCTCTTGATAAATGGTATTCTGATGTCGGATATTTGAATTAATCGGAATGCATTATGATCTGGGTCTTGAATCGTGCTGTCATCTCTATTAGTGATCTATCTGTGTTATAGTGAGATTGCAATCACCGTTGTCCGGGTCTGAAATGCAATGAAACTATGGGAATTATTGAGCATAACCAGTCACATTTCTCACTGAATTCTCTGCCAAGCAACATTGGAGGCCCGTCAACGGAACCGGCTGAAAGATCAGCCCATCGGCATGCATAGTCACCGACGGCCGATCCTTGGCCACACGATGACACAAAGCCCTGAAACTGCGACATGTGCCTTTTTTTTACATTGCAAGAGATGTGCTTACTTAACTAGAAATCTAAGCTTTAATTAAATACATACAAGTGAGCACTAACTGTTGAGCCCAGACAGCCAGACCCTTTAAGCAACCAAGCAGGTTTAGGGCTCGTTCGTTTAGCCCTCGTTCCCGATGGATTCATTCCGAATGATCAAAAATAGTATAAATTTACACAATATGTACACAATATTCCTGGCTGGAATTATTCCAGGCCTCCATTCGTTTCTCACAGGGCCTTAAGGAAAACCAGGAACAGCACAAGTAAGCAGGAGTAAGCTGAATCATTATGCGTAGAATAAGCTAATGAACCATGCCATAAATCAAGGGGCTATTTCAACCAGTCTGCACACACACATTCAGCCAGTCTTAACTCTTAAATTCTAAGATATATGAACTAGTATAGTAAATCAAGGGCACAAATACAATTCAACAAGTTGCTTCCGATTGTTCACCTGGATTGGATACACAAAAATCAACTGTACAAAAGCTATCATAGATCGGCTTATACTACTACATGTATACAAACCGCTCATCTACCTGTCATGATCGGCAAGACCTACGCTAGGAGGAGGCAACATCCTAAATCTATAGTTAGTGGCTAGTAAAGGGCAATAAGCAGATTTGTTATAATTTAGCCTTAACAGATAGTTAGGCTATTGGGCCAGGCCCATTAGTGATTGTAACCCCCTTTATATATACGAGGGAAACGCTTAATGAGAAACTAAGCAAGTTTAGGGTTAATCCCTTTATCCTATCTCCCTTCCCCTTCTCTCCCTACGCCTCCCTTCTCTTCTCTTCCAAGCCGCCGCCACCTTCTCCAACTAGGCCACTGCCCCTCCCTGCCAGGCTACCGACCACAGCAGCCAAGCCGCCGCCCACCCACAGCCGGGCGGCCACACTGCACACCGCCGTTTGAAAGGTCCTTTGTGTGGTTTTGGTAATTGAGTGACAACCTAGGTGGACTAATTGTGTTTATGTGAGATACACAGGTGATTAGTCCACAGGTACATGTATGTGAGCAACATATGCCATGAAGGTGGAAATGGCTAGGAGATGTTGCAAAGCTCACACATGTGATGATGAAGGAGCTCATTGCACATGAGACATGACATTGAGTCATGTGATCAAGGTGGAGAAGATCAAGACAAGACTTGTCTTGATGGACCGGTTGCAAGCGTGAAGGGCAAGTTGGAGGCTTTGGAGCGATGGACCGCGTGGCGGTGAAGCTTAAGCAAGACTTGGCGCCGATGGATGAAGGCAATGGTGAAAAGCAAGTAAAGTCAAGATCGATGAACCAATATGATCACGTGATGATATGAAGTGGATCATATCATTGTTGATCGCGTTGGTGCATGTGTTGCATCGACATTGGAGGAGATGGAATGGAATGCGCAAGGCAAATGTATAACCTAGGTCATTTTATTTCACCGGTCATAGGTGTGTAGAGAAATTGATGACCGGGTTTAAGATAATGGCCGTACTATCAAGAGGAGCAAACTTGTTTGCATATCGGTCATCTAGTGCCACTCGAGTGATCTAACTTTGCATCGTTGCAAGGATCAAGTGGCGTGGCAAGTGAGTGGCTAATCCTTTGGAAAATATTTGTGAAAAGCTAACACACGTGCACAAGGTGTTGTACACTTGGTGATATTGGCACATTTGCAAAGGAGAAGAAGTTGAGTGGTTAACTCCTTTAAAAATGTTTGTGAAAAGCTAACACACGTGCACAAGGTGTTGTACACTTGGTGGTGTTGGCACATTTGCAAAGGAGAAGAAGTTGGTGAAGAAAAAGAGTTAAATGCGCTGGTCACGGGGTGATCGGACTCGTTCGACATGAGGACCGGACGCGTCCGGTATTTCCCGATGTGACCGGACGCGTCCGATATAGACACCGGACGCGTTCGGTATTCTGGCCAGGCGCGGGCAGAGTTGCCGAAATGACCGGACTCTGGCTCATAGCAGTGACCGGACGCTGAGCAATTACTGTTCAGCGTCAGGTCGTGGTGATGTGGGGCGCGGGTGTTGGTCCAGAGAGGACCGGACGCAGGGGCGCGTCCGGTCGGCCACACTGGACGCTGCCCCTTCTGCTTTCGGTCGATCACACCGGATGCGTCCGGTCGGAGTTGAGCAGCTCTGGGAGCTCTCTGGACTCGACCGGACGCTGTCCCTCCTGCATCCGGTCGGCCACACCGGACGCGTCCAATCGCAATTGGGCGGCAATGGATATTTCGTTTGAATGGGACACGTGGCGATCAAGCAGTGACCGGACGCAGCGATCGGACACGTCCTATCGCCACACCGGACGCGTCCGGTGCACACGACCTGCACGTCCGATCGTCCCGAGTTTTGCCCAGTAAAGGGGTAACGGCTAGTTTAGCCCGTGGGACTATAAATAGAAGGGGATCTCGGCCATAGCTGGTGCTGAGCACCTTGGGGGACTTTGTGTCTATGCTTGAGAGTGCTTAGGAGCCCTCCGTCTCACATATGCTTGACAGTGATCATTCGATTGTGTGAAAGAGTGATTCTAGTGGCCAACGGGGCATAGCTTGGTTACACTATTTTTCCTGTCCGTGTCGGTTAAGGACCGGCCGTTGCATTGGATTCTGGTCATGTCACAGACTTATTATCCTGAGCACATACTTGCTTATGGGAGCGGGAAGACTCGTTGCTCTCTTGTCGTGGGTTCCGGTTCTTTCCGGACCGACTGATTGAAGGCGGAGATGGTGGAGGTATAAGCACCACACTGAGTCCGAGACTCAGGTGTGGGGGCTTGGAGTCCAAGTTTAGACGGGGACCTGGACCCCTTGATAGGAGAGTGGTGGGTTGTCCTACTTATGCCTGGGGTACAAGCGGGGCGTGTGTTTCGAGGTAACCAGCTAGGCTACATTGATTTACGAATCGTCGTGTAATACAGTACGACTTGTCTACGATCTAGCACCGTAATAAGAACTAGAAGATGAAAGATGATGAAATGGATCTAATTGCTCAACTCTTGCTTAAAAGTAGAATATGTGCTTACATAGAATGGTTAGCCAATGAATTAATCATGACTGCTAATAAAACACATACATAAAGATTCACTACTAGTAA